TGAAATTTCAAGGGAAAGAGAAATCCCAAATTCGTTCCTGGAAGCTACTATTATCCTGATTCCAAAATCAGACAAGGATAGAACTGAAAAAGAAAACTATATATCAAGTATCTTTAATGAACATAGTTTCAAACATCTTCAACAAGACACAGGCAAACAATGTAATGAATTATCAAACAAATCATACATCATGATCAACTAAGCTTCATCCCAGGGATGCAAGAATGGTTCATCATACACAAATCAATAAAGATCATTCATCACGTAAATAGAAAGAAGGAAAAAAAGTCACATGATTATCTCAATAAGTGCAGAAAAAACTTTTGGCAAAAGCCAAGGTCTTTTCATAGCATCTAAATTTGATAAAAGCCATTTATGACAAACCTACTGCCAATATTAAATGCTGAAAAACTTTAAGCTTTCCTTTTATAACTAGGATGGGATAGTCTACTATCACCACTCCTATTCAACATGGTGCTCAAAATATCGTCAAGAGCAATTACACAAGAAAAAGAAATAACAAGATATGTATAAAAATAAAACAAGTTGAATTATCATTATTTGCACATGACATATCCTCCAAATGTAAGATCCCAAGAATTCCACCAAAGGCCAGTTAGAATTGATAGCTAAATTTAGTAATTTGGCAAGACACAAAATCAGTAATGCTCCTATATATTAAAGATGAACCATGTATCACTTGAAAGAAATTATGGAAAATACAACTCACAATGTCACCTATAAAAATTAAATACTAGGAATTAACTAATAGTTAAATAAATGAAAAACTCTTACAATGAAAACTACAGTGCTCTGAATAGGATAATTGAAGCAGACAGCAGAAAATAGAAAGTTATCCCCTACTCTTGGATAGAAATAACCAATGTTTTCAAAATGGCAATAATTCCAAAATTGATATTTAATGTAATCCCATGGCATGGCAGAAGAGCAATAGCCTGTGGAAGGTAGGCAGTAGGCAGCAACAATGAGTCTCCCTTTTCCTTTTCATTCCATTAAGGCTACAAGCTTATTAGTTGGTGCACCTCATACCCAGGAAGGATCTTTTGTTTTTAGTAAATCCATTCAGTCGCACTAGAATTATGCTAATCTAATCAGTGGGCTGATCCAGTTAACATACCCATAATCCAGTATCACCATCAATGCTCTAGCCACTCCCAAAAGCTCCACCTGTCATTCTACCACCTGGTACCCAAAATATTCATGTACATCCCTTTATGAAAAACCCATTTAGACCATTTGTAAAAGTTGCCAAAATTCTAAAAGTTTTAGCACTGATGAAAAGTCCAAGTCAAAATTCTCCTCTAAGATTTCAGACAACCTCTTAGTTTTGAGTCCCTAGAATGATGAAAAGAATGTTAAACACTCCCAACATACAAAGGCACAGAATAAACATTTCTTTTCCAAAAGTAAAAATAGGAGAATGTAAAGATAAGCAATGGAGACAAGACCAAAATCCAGCAGGGCAAACATAAATCCTATAGTTCTATGTCTAGCTCATGGTCAATCTGTGGCAAGATGTGAACTCCTAAGGGTTTGAGTAGGTCCACAACTGTGGCATTGCTGATGGTTGTAGGCTTTTACAATTTTTATGACTTTCCTCAGAAGATATATGTTCCTGGCTTTTCCAACCTTCTGGTATCTCCCTTTTGGCTTCATACTCACCTCTTCACACATTGCCCAGTTGAGGGCGCACTGCTTAACCTCACAGGTCTTCTCAAATCTGGGTAGAATGCTGAGCTTACAATACTTGCACTCTGTGTGTACTTAAAATCAGCACCATGTGTATGATGCCAACATCTGCCACCAGCAGTAGCTAAGCTTCTAGTCTTATGGCAGTGGGGGTTAAATGCTTGGATTGCTCAAACCTATGAACCCGATCTAGTGGAACAAATTCCCTAGGCTACTACAACTCTGGATCGTATTGCCCTGGGGTTCCCTTCTCAAAGCAAAATTTTACCTTTGCCTTTTTGAGGCTGCAAAAGGTGGAGTCCTTCTTGATTCTTATGATGCCCTCAGTGTATCATTTTATTATTTTTTTCTAAAGTATTCAGTTTTTCGATGCAAATTGTTTCAGACACTAAGTTCTCCTCTGCTCCATTTTTGCAATCTGTAGCATTACTAGAATTTACTTTCTGGCAAAACTGAAAACTTTAAATCACTTTTCTGGATCACTTGCTCTTGATTCTCATGGTATAGTTGGCTAAGACCCCCAATAGCATCCATGCTTTGAAATTCTTTCCAACAGATTAATGAGTCTACTGCCTTTAAACTCAGTCTTCTGCAATGTCTCTGCACATGGACAAAATGTAAACATGTTTTCTGCCAGCATATAATACATCTCATCAGGGGTGATCTGCCAATAGTCAATTAATTCAAACTAAATTTATCCAATGCCATGTTTCTTACTAATATGTGAAGTGTTCAGCATCTGGATGCAGCCATTTATAACTGAGTCTATCTATACAAAAAGCTATTCAGAAATTCTTCCCCTTACAGTTTTGCCCCTATTATAATTAATTATTTTTAATAACTGTGACAAAAATGTTCCACCCTTTAAGATCTTTTCAGGCTTTTTAACCATTAATGATCTTTTCCTGGAATTGAATTTTTTAAAAGAGAATAAAACAAAAGAGAACAGAACAAAGCAAATCAGAACAGAACAATGCAAGCAACACAGCATTTCACAAGACAACCAGATATCAACTAGCTACCATAATGTCTCTTTTCTTTGAAATAGTTGAGCATACCTTCACACACTATATCAAACATAACAAAATAGTGTAAAACTATTCAAGAGACTGAAAGAATTACAGGACTTCAAAACCAAATTAATAGGAATTGAACAAGGGCTACTATAATATCTCATTTTCCTTAAAAAGTTTGTTTATACCAAACCAGTGGCACATTTACATTCATAATGACCCACAATTTTCAAATAAAACACCTTTTATGAATTTTACACACCAGCTTCCCATGCTTATTTTTCAAATAAAAAATCAAGAAGTTCATTTAGATAAATATGAAGATAAAATCAGTTCATGTTCCTCTCTTTTATAGTCATCTTACTGTTTTTTCAAGTGTCCTCAGTCAGTATCTCCGAATGTTACCCTATGAATGCCTTGACCCAAATAAAGTGGGTCCATCTCCTTTAAGCAGTTTTCATAGTCATCTCTGTGTTGAGAAGAACTTGGGGGGGGGGTTTCCAGATCGGCTGATGTTTGTTCTCTTCCCATGTCTTTATGAGCACTAAGTCACTGGGTTAAGTATATGGATGGGGAACTTCAGTGGTGAAGTCTGGACTAGAAAACCTTTCAGCCTGAGAGATGACTGAGTAAAGGAGAGAGTCAGTATAGAGTTCTATAATATACGTCCTTAGTTTCCATGGTGGAGAGGCCCATTAGCCTTCTTAGACAAGGGAGTGTGTATAATATTTTATAGGGGATAACCCTGTGTCTTCTGAGAGCTGTTCTAATCCAAAGAAAAGCTGTTGGCAGATATTTTGTCCAATGTAACTTTGTAAGATTAATTTAGTAATCTGTTTCTTTATGGTTTGATTCATTCTCTTCACATTCCCTGAAGATGGAAGACACCAAAGGGTATGATGATCCTATTTTATATTTAGGCCCTTTTTAACCCCCCAGAGTATAGAGTAGGTAATATGAGTACCATTATCTGAGTCTATATCTTCTGTTACACCAAATCTCAGTATAATTTTTTCCAGGGTTATCTTTATGATATTTTCTGTACTAGCAATTGTGAGGGGAAAGACTTCTCATCTAGCGAGCTGATCTACAATTACCAGTATACATTTAAATTTTCTAACTTTATACATCTCAGAATAATCCATTTGTATAATCTGAAAATGTCTGTGTCCAGGAGAATCTTCCACCAGCCATTTGTTTTCTATTCACTCTTTCTTTATTTTTCACATGAAATGCAACTGCTACACAACTGTTTAGCAACGGTGCAGACACCTATGTGCTAATAATGTCTAATCTTTGCATCATCCTTAGCTTGCGGACATCAGTGACTTTCCTTGGGAAGTCTGGACATTAATTCTCTCATTATAGGTCTGCGTAACATTTCTCCATCAGCAAGTTTCCATCTCTCACACTCCCTTAGGATGACTCCCAGCTTGATAAATTTTTCTCTTACACTTTTTGTGAATTTGGGGCATTAAAGTTATCTTTGAAAGATTTGGAATCAGGCTAAATATATGACTCCTTCCAAAAAGGACCTTTTAGCTGCCTTATCTGCAAGCCTATTTCCAGTTGCTTCCTTTTTGATGAGCACATGCAAGAACAACTGCTATTTCCATAAAGGGCAGATTTCTCACAACAAACAAGCACATTTGATTTGGGAAGCAGTGAGTGTTTATCCTTCTAGCTCATACTATTCCCCTCTCCCATCACTCTTTGACTGAGATCAGGGAGTCATAATCTAGATAGAGGGCAACTGCTACTTACCCTTTTAACCCTCCCCCTTTTAAACATTTTTTCTTTGTAGATCTTTATGGTTTGTTTCTTGGTTCTCATGACCATAATTCCTGAAAACTTGTTCATCTAGCAATTATGTCTTACAGTATCTTTGTTTGGCTTTAGGGATTCTTTAGTGGTGAGTCATTTTGCAGCCTGTTTGCCCACTATTTGACCCACTTATCTGTATATGAGGGTAATAGCCATCCACTAAATCTCTACTGAAGATTAAAGGTTATTTGAGGTTAAAATAAATTACAGACCATCTAATAATCTTATTTCTTACACTTAGCAACAAAAAATTTGATGATGCATGGCTAAATGTGGCCACTTTCTTTTAGTGTTACAAATACCTTTTAATTCTTCAGTAAGGGTGAATAAAGTCTAGGAAAATATAAAGAGGATAGTGATATCTAGTAGAAATGCAAAACTAGTTCTGAACAAGGAGATGATTAAAAGTGGATAATTTAGGCACAGTGTTGAAGGGAATAAAAAGGCATGAACATGGTACAAAGAGTGGCACGGAAAACAGGCTAGTAAATATTTTTGTTGTTTTGAGATCTGGAGTAATATGAAAAACAGGCTAGTAAAATTTTTGTTGTTTTGAGATCTGAAAATCCTAGTGTAAGATGCTGTGAGACTACAGACTCAATAACTCACCCAATACAAGAATTTCATTTGCCAAGAATCCCTCAAAAACTATAGGTTCCAGTTGCCCTGTATGTTTTCAACCTCTTAAGAATGTGTCTAGCAACAGGTTCTACATTTATATTATGACTTCAGTAGAAGGAACAGGAGCTTGAGTCTTTTTACCTTCCTACCCTTAGTCTATTTTCTAGTTGTTTGTATTTCCATTATTTCTATATATGAAAATCAGGTTTATTAAAAAACTGAAAAAAGGAAATTATCTGAAAAACTGAAAGAAAATATAATCTTTTCTTAAATATAATCATTTTTGTAACTCACTCAACCCTCTCCAATTTTGTTACAAAGATGGAACTGCAAGGAACTGAGGAGAAGGTCAGTAGAGAAAAGACAGCTACTTTTCTGTTTTTGTAGTCTAGAAAAGGAAAAGTAACTCTCCAAGACAACAGTTTAAAAATTAAAACAGTTAATATATCTGTGGGAAGATGCAGTCTTGGTAATCAGAGAATGGGAAGTCCAGTGAGAAGGAGTAAAGATCCAATATCGACCTCTGGAATTAACAAAAAAAAAAAAAAATGACAAGAACTTTCATGGTGGGGGATTTGGTAGATCAGTTCACTTTTGGTGGGAGAGGGAAAAGGGGACCAGAGCTGGAGGATGATGCAATCCTCACATTATCTGGAGCTAAAGTGAACTGAAATTCTTACATTTCCAGGCTTCTCTTTCACTTTGAATATCATCTCTTTACTGCCCTTCAGTCTTGCATGCCTGTGACCAAGGAAAAAACACAGATAAATTGCAGCACGTTGTCAATAAAGTGCTAAGGTCCCTGCAGTAGCATTTTACTTCTTCAAAATATGTACAAACATATGGGAGGTGGTAATACAGGGAGCAAACACCTAGTTATTTAGTGATAGTTTAGAAAGGGTCATATTCTCTTATACTGGCAGTATTTCTTTGTATCCTTCTCCCCATTTTCCCTAATTCATTGCAGACAATGTAAACATAAAATGTACATTTGTGGTGGGAGAAAAACTGAAATCATGAGATGGAGACAAGATAAAATTAGAGATCATTTAAAAATAATTTCCTCATTCAGTACTGGCTTGCAGTTTTGGGCTGGAGGTGGGGGTGGGAGTTAGCGGTTTTTGGAAGGATACGTGGTGCAGATGGGCACATAACTCCTGGAGGAAAGAAAAGGATAGGATGGGATTCAGGGAGTAGGGAAAGTGCAGCAGCAAGAGTGAGCAATCTTACATTCAAGATTATGTGTATCTTGTCTTTCGAGTTGGTTGATTTACAAATTCTCTCTTTCCTATTACTTTTCTTTTATATGCATGCCATAGAGTCCACGTTCAAAAACACTTCCAGGCCATCAAAACAGCAGAAACCTCTCCTGTAATTTCGTAGGTCAGTATGAGGAGGCAATGAGACCAAGATTTGTGAGGATGGAAATTGAAAAGGACAAAAGCTAGGCAAAACTCATGCCCACATCCATGAATCTTCCTCTTTTCCCAGCCACTGGAGAAGCCATTAACCTGATTTTCTGGTGAAATCCTGGATTCCAGAGAGGGAGGGGTGAGAAGTATGATTTGGAGGGGACGACCAGAGACATTTCCAATTTCTGGGAGGTACACCCTTCAGGAAGGCATGAGAGATTAGGCAAATACATTGTCTCAAAGAGAAACTGACCATTCCTGGTTCAAAAGTAATGACGCAATACATGTCTATATATTCTCTTTGGATTAAATAGGAAACAGCAATACCATCCAAAACTTCTGCAAAGAAAATGAAGGAAAACCTAAGTGTAGCCTGCCAAAGTGGGAGAAAGAGTGCCTGTATGGAAAATTTGAATGCCAACAAAAGGAAAGGAATTTTAAGAGGCTGCTTCAGTCTCCAGAAAAATTTAAAGAGGACATAGACGTTAGGCATTTTTAAGAATGAAGAAATAGCAAGAGAGGGACATGAGATGGAAAGGTGTTTGGAAGAGATAAGGGGTTTGAGAAAAAAGTTAGGACTCTTCCTTGTAACTATAGGCATTCTCAGGACTGACCTTATCCTATTTAATGCATTTCCCCAGAAATCATTTTTCTGTTAACTGATATTGCCATTGCTTTCTTTCTGCCTGCATTTTTCTGATAAATATTTGAGATCATTTTCTTCTTTTTTTTAATTGTTTAGATTTATGAGTCTTGCCCATCTCATCTATGACTCAAACTTACTCATTTAATAAGGAGATCTCACTCATTCTGTGGGAAGATGCTCATTGTATATTATAAATTAAAAATAACAAGCTAAAGAAAAGCACATATAGCTGTACATTTCTATATGACACAATGTAAAATAAAATGTTTGAATAATTATAACATCTAATGTTAACAGTGAATCTATGTGATTTGTAGTTCTATTTTTTATTTTGAATAGAGTAAAAGCAAACAAAATAAAACAGAATAGAGTCCATCAAAAAAAGCAGAGAATGTGATACAGGACTTGAAAAGATAATAGGAAACTAACAGTGGCTACCATAATGCCTCCCATTATCTTCAAAGTGCCTCCCATTATCCATACCAGCAGACATAACAAAATCAAACAAAATGAAACAGTATAAAATAAAATCAAAACATAACAATGAAAGCAATACAGAGCTTCAAAACAAGATCATAGGGAATCAACAATGACTACCATTAATGTATCTTGTTATCTTTGAAATAGCTGCCCATACCATCAGAAATAAAATCAAACAAAATAAAACAGAATAAAACCAAACAAAGCAGAACAATGAAAATGATACAAGACTTTAAAACAAGATAATAAAAATTAACAATGGCTACCACCTTCCTTTTTTAGACATTTCCTCCCATTTTACTTTTACGATATCTATTGTGCATTTTGGATCCCACTAACTCCTTCAGTTTTTTATATTAGAGAGACAACACAGTGTTCACCCCTGTGAGTCCAAATCCTTTCACTCATAAGCCTGATCAAAAGTTGCTTGTATTTCTCTACAAGAGCCTTGAGGTTATCCTTCTTTATTGCTACATAGCTTTCCATGTATAAAAATTCCATATCTTTCTTATTGATTCTGCAATTTTGTACAACATATTCCTGCTTTTTACTGATTCCCTGTCACATGGAACATTTTTTTTTCTCTCCTTGGACTTTCAGTCTATGCATTTCCCTTTGAGATTAATGTGTTCCTTACATAAAACTTATCAATGGATCCTGTCTCCCAATCTACTCTGCCTGTGTTTCTTTTTATTGGTGAGTTGAGGCCATTTACATTAATGGTTATGGCCAACATGCACTGGCTCACCTCTGCCTTGCTATTTTCCTGATACTGAATCCCTACTTTTCCCCTCCATTCATTTGCTTGCCCCACTTGGCAATCCCCTTCTGCTGCTATTCCAGGAACCATGATCATTTTTATCTCTCTTTAGAAAGTCCTTCAGTATTCTTAGGGTTGTTTTCACAGTCATTAATTCCTTCAGTTATTCTTTTTCATGAAAATATCTTGTTTATCCATTAATTTTGAAAGATAGTTTTTCAGGGTACATCAATCTGGGTTGGAAGTTGTTTTCTTTCAGGACTTCAAGTACTTTACTCCAAACCCTTCTTGACTTTATGGTTTGTGTTGAGAAGTCTCCTGTGATTCTGGTGGGTTTTCGTTTATAGGCAATCTGTTTATTCTAACTGCTTTTAATGTTTTGTTCTTGTGCTGAATTTCTGAGATCTTGATTATTATAAGTCAGAGTGTAGATTTATTTTGGTTATGGCTATCTGGAGTTCTATATGTCTCTCTTATCTGTGTGTCAGGTTTCCAACATTTGGTAAGTTTTCTGCTATTATTTGTATCAATAGCCTTTTTATATCATTTGTGTTGACCCCTGCTTTTGCTGACACTTATCACTCTTTAATTATTTTTCTTTGCCTCATCTTGCAGCCACTGAATTGTTATTTCTTAGTTCCTTGTTATTTTAAGAAATTTTTCCATTCGCTATTCCTAGCTGAACCTGTCTTCAAGGTCTGAAGGTTTGACTTCAGTCTCTTTCATGTGGTTTTTCCAGATTTCAATGGAATTTTTAATTTCCTAGGTGTCACTTTGAATCTGTTTCTTGCATTCTAATTCTATCTTATATTATTCATTCAAGGTTTCCCACATTTTCCTATCCTCCTCTATTTTTTATCTGTGTCTTCTTTATATACTCTCACCAATTCCTTTTTATGTTTTTCATTTCTTCTTTTACCTGAGATAGTATTTCTGTTCTAATTTCTTTTATAACCTTATGGAGTTATTTATTTATTAACTCAGTTGCCATCACTTCAGAAACTTCCAATCTCTCCAATGTGTGACTTCCAATCTCTCCAATGTTTATATCTCCTGGAGTTACTCTGCATGGGTTGCAGCCACAGACTGCCTTTTGCTTCTTCATCTTGACATTTTCCTGAGTTCTTCTGGGCAAGAGTGTTGTTGGGTTCCAGGCACTTTCTGCATGGGCTACAATTTCTCTGAGACTTAGCTGGCTGATTCTACCAGCCAGTTCTGGCTATGGGTACTGAATGGTGGCCAGCAGTTGTGCTGGTACAGGGCTGCCTGATGCTTCTCTTCATCTGTGCCAGTTACATATGAGAATTATTCCTGATGGTGGTGGGTGTGCATGTAGGGATGGGGCTGGCTGCTGCTTCTCCTGACTCATGCTGGCTACCAGTGGGAAGCATCCCCAATGGATGACTTCTGGTATGATTTGTATTTTCTTTCTTTGTTTTTTACCTATCTATATCTTCTCATTGATATATATATATATATATATATATATATATATATATATCCATATATATGTATGTGTTACTTGCATTATATACACACATATAAAAAGAAAAATAGACACACTAATAGAATTTGTCACTCACTTTTGGAAGTCAGTGGAACACTAAATAATTTTTTTTTTTTTTTGGTACCGAGGATTGAGCTCACGACCTTGTGCTTGCCAGGCAGGCACTTATGCTGCTGAGCTAAGTCCCCAGCGATAAATTCTTAATAATGGAAGTGTAAAACATAAATCTAAACTTCGAATTAACTTGGGATCTCCTAACCAGAGGCTGGAAATGATTATATATAATAATCACATTTAGGGAACATTTGTGTGGGAAATATTTGTCTCAGAAGGCTACTGTGAGGAAGAAATGATCGACTATGAACTCAAAAGTCTCCCTGGTGGCAACTTGTTTAACTTGTGCATACAGAATCCCAACCTGTTATAGAAGAATCAATTATTTGAGAGAGGACCTGATGACACATGTGCTCAGGAATAATTTCAATTGGTAAATGTCAGGGGTTCCATGGTCCCTTATCTATTGAGACCTATCCCATTCTCCTCTTCTGGGTCCCACTGTAGTTACTGAATAAAACTTCCTCTTGTGTAAGGCCATTCACTCTCTGCTGGCTGCCACCTCTACAAGTTCATAGGATGTCTTAAATATCAGACCTTACTGAATTTCCTGGAGTTCCCACAGATTGAACTCCAGCTGTCTACTTAAGTTTCTCTTGGCTTTATAGTGACACTTATCACAGGTGGAACACTACAGAGTCTCTCTAGTCATAATGTCTTGAACAGTTCTTAGCAAAGCAGTCTTTTCTGTTTCAGTCACAGGACCCTACCTCCTCAAAGGAGTCTCATGTGATGGGTTCATTTGAAAGTTGAATCTGGGTAAAAGTTTGAGTAAAGACATCATGATGTAATTAGTTGCTACTCTTGAGTCCAAGGAATAATATCTTGTCCTCCTTTTCCAAAATGATCTCTTCTTTAACATACATGCCAACCTTCTTTTACTGGTTCAGGAAACTCTCATGGCACATGTATAAATCTTACAAAGTAACATAGGGAACAGATCTAAATAAACAATCATTTTCTCTTACCATAGCCACTCATGAAACAAGTAAATATACATATATATGATTATGTATATACATATAGAAATATGTATATACATAACCTTGTTTTCTAATACTATATACTAATGTACTAAAACTAATATACATATATATGCTTTTATGGATTTATATTAGTCTTGCAAAATATGTATATGTATACAGTATATGCATATGTGCTCTACACCATTGATTATTTGGGTATATAGCCTGCCTTTATTTTATAGTTATGTATTCCATATGGCATGCATTATTTCCAAGGTTTTTGCAAGAAAAGTGAAAGAATCACTTGTGGTGGTTTCAAAGTCTTTGAGGTGTTTTGTATTATATTTTACGACCCTGACATAAATGCAAGGGAGGCTGGAAAATGAAAGAAAGCACATATGGTAATGCTTGACTAAGCAATTTTACTTTCAGGATTTTAATCTGTAGAAATAAAAACATGTGCATTAAGTTTTTACATTATAAGTAGAATTTCTCTTAGTTGCAAAATATAGAAATAATTTCATGTAACTTAAGAGATTGGTTGAAAAACTTAACGTGTGGTCATATGATATATACATATATATAAATAAATATATATATATATATATCAGTCAGCGCTTAGTAGATAAACAAACTTAATACAAGATATACAAGTATATAAGAATTTGTAAGATTGGCTTACAATGGCTGCCCACAGTCAAGTGTAGAATAATATAAAGGGTCAAAGGCCTAGAGCTTGGTGTAGTGTTCTGTGTGAGACCATTTCTGAAATGGAAAGCTGAAGAGTCTGTGTCAGAAGGCACAGGATCTATGCTGGAGGCCAAAGAGTCTGCACTAGAAGCTTGGAATGATGTCTAAGATCCTAAGACTAGGGCTTTTCTGAAGAAAGAGAAGAAAGCCTCTTATTGTTGTTTCCCTTTTACAACATTGCAGCAACAGGAAAGACTGTCCACACTCAGAACCGTGCTGATGTAACTTAGTTGGACATTTCTTACTCAAGTTGACACAATCAGTTAACTATCACACTATAAAAAACAGATTCATTTCCATATGCATTTACTGACAAGTCTGACAAGATTTCTAACTGATATAAAATGACACCAAATATGTAATTTAAAGTCTTATGAAGTGACAAAGAACAAAGATAAATACAACT